TCAGCAGGGGAGCAGAAGAAGCAGGCTGAGAGCAAAAGTGTGCCTGACCTGAACTCAGAGACCTTTTCCATGGAGGTGGAGTCTCTGAAGTCTGCTTCCTCCCTGGGTGATCCACTTTCCACCAGTGGTAGCCCACAGTCTAACAGCACGAGTGAGGTTCCTGCAAAGTATGAGTTGTCTAATTTAGCAGCTGAAGACAGCTCTTCCCCCTCCAGAATCCATGGGCTGGACACAGATCCAGGAAGACCTTCAGAAGAGCCATGTTTCTCTCTAGCATCAGCCTTGAAAGAGCTGCACAAACTCCTGGTTATCAGTCAGAGAGGAGGATGTAAAATCCTTGCCTCTGAAGAAGTCTCTGAGCTAGAAATGGTTCACCAAGAGCCAGCACCACCGTGGAAGGGGCTTTCTGACCATGAGCAGAAAGGCCCAGATCCAGCCAGCCAGGAACACAATTGTTCCTCCTATGAGGTGAGGTCTGAAGGTGGAAGAGCAGAGAGGAAGCAGTCTTGTGATTCTGGCATAGAGAACATCAGCTCTGGGTCTGTTGGTCATGCTCAGTCAGCTCTTGGTGAAGGTGCTCAGGATAGCCAGAAGTTTTCAGGTAGGAGTGATTTGGTTGTGGTGAGTTCTGCAGCAACATCTGACCAGCAAGAAAGCTCTGAACAGGTGGAGGTTTGGGTGGAAGGTTCTCTGAGTCCGGCTACTCCCACTTTGGAGCAAAACACATCTGTTTCCTCTGCACGTGCTTTGGCTGCAGCTGCACCTCAAGGTACTCAGAGCAGTACAGGAGCACCTGGGAGAAGCAGCACTTCTGCTCCTGGAGGTGGGTGTGAGGAACCAGTGCTGAGCCCACCAGCTGGCTGTGCTGGACTTGCCTCGGGTGCTTCTCCACCACCTGCTTTCCCCGTGGCCGATGTTGATCGGATCCTCAGCGCTGGTTTTACCCCTCGGGAAGCTCTTGAGGCTCTGGAACAAGCAGATGGAAACACAGATCTTGCTCTTCTCATTTTGCTAGCCAAGGGTATTGTTGTTCCTACCTAATTGTGGAAGAGGTAGCTGACTGGGGTGTCTTTTCTTTTAAAGGACATATCTAAATTACACACCACAGTGTACAAGCAGAATGTCGAGCCAGATTTTTTTTAATTATTTGCAGCCAAAGTAACTTGCCTCTTCTGTTTCACTCATTAGATTTGGCCTTTTAAAAGAAAGCAAAACATCCTAGTGTTGTGTGGACAGGATAAGCTTCTAATTATGCCTAATGGATGAAAATATTTTCATTTAAATGTACAATTTTAGAATAAGCTCCAGTGTTTCTGAATAAAAAGCAGAAGCCATTAAGATCAGCACCCTGTCCAGCACCAAGCAGATGGTGAAGCTGACTTGCCCGTGGGTGCCCAGCCCAGCACGGACGCGAAGCGGTGCTTGTTCAAAGGGACTTCGGTGGTTTTGTTTTAGCTCTCCTGCTCTTTGTAACCCCATGTCCCACCTGGGATGCTGATGAAACTATTATGGCAGCTACTAAAGGTATGTAGATGCCCACAGATGTGTAACCCTTTGTGAGAGGAGTGAGGGGTGGAGGGGGAGGGGGGTGATTTGGAAGCGTGTGGTTTTGCGTGTGCACAGGGAAGGCCCATGACTGTTTTTGCCAAACCCTTTCATGCTCTTGGGCCAGTGTGCTCCAAGTTTACAACGTGGGGATAGAAGAAGGGAAGGGATAGAATTTGGTGCTACCAAAACTTGCAATGTTTTAACTTATTTGAAGTGCTGGTATTAATTGTGGGGGGAGGGGGGTGGAGGGAAAAGGAGTCTTTTACTTTTTTTTTTTCTAGCCTTGCCCACATCATGTTTCTCCCATCCAAAAGAACAAACTCAACCACTTGAAGACAAAAAATGAACACTGAAATTGTTTAACCAACCAATCATGTGTTATGGCTCTTAATCCCCCTCTGCCCGGGGAAGAATGAACTGTTTCAGTGGATGCATTCTCTCCATATCGAGCAGGGTTGTGATCAGAAGAATGAAGAAATCTGCTTTGCACTTGTTTATTTTGATTTTTGGGGATGATCAGCCTCTCAGCTGTGGAAACGCAAACTGCAGAAAGCCCGTAGTGGCTGGTGGGGTACGAATTTAATACCTCTTCTAGAGCCAGGGCTCCCCAATAGGGTTTATGAAACAAATGCACTGATGTGGCTTCTGCATTAAAACCATCGTGGCCTTCTGGGAAGTCCCTGGTGAATAACCTGTCTGTTGAGGACTCACCGAGGCTGTGCTGTGGGAAGCCCTTTCCAGATGCTTTTTTGGGGGGGGGATGAACTACTTGGTGATGCTTTGCAGAGCCCCAAATCACTGTTGGGGCTGGGGAAGGAAAGTGTGGCTGAAAGCATGATACCAAATTTTAAGTAGGAATTTCTACTTAGTCCCATGTGCAAATCTCTGAGGTGGCTTTGTGTCAGGTGTTCATCTTGAACTCTGCTTTGAGCTAAACCTGAAGGGGTGGGACAGCAGCAGCTGGAAACGTGGTTTTGTTCATGGCTTTCATTTGTCATTATCATTGTCTCAGGCCTGTATTCTTGATGTTTTGTTTGCCCTGGTGCTTCCACGTCTTTTGTCATGCAAGGTGGCATCTAAAAACTCAAATTTGGTTTCATTTGTCAAACTGCAGGAGTTTCTGATGTCAGGGAGCTGTGGTGGTCAGGTTTTTCATAGGCACTTGGGCAGCCAGGAGATCCTTTAGAATAATTAAGAGCTTTAGGGCATTCCTCTGTCTATCAAATGGACCTTCTGCATGAGGTGTGAACATACCAGCCAGGCCTGGAGCTCCCAGGTATGTTGAGCTCATATCCCACTCCCTGAGATGCTGGGAAGCAGTTCTTGGCTCTTTGGGAAGCCCCCTTGCTCCTGGAGCAGCATTGAGTAATTCACTTGAGGCTCTTTTCAAAATGGGTTACTGAGGCAAGATGCCAGATCTACCATCTTTACTGGGCAGGTGGTCAGAGCTGCCCCTGATGAAGCATTTGAAATATTCTCCTTACAATGAGCACCTCAAATTAACAAAAGGCCCCTCTGTAAAGGGTACAGAAGTAGTGTGATCAGCTGTCTCTGTAGAAGCCTTAGGAAATAATGATACATTAGACCCATTCCCACCTGCATCTGGCTCACTGTCAAAAGCAGCAACAAGAATGAAGCTCCCAGGTCTCAGATCCAGAGCATCCTCCATCTAAGCAGCTGAATCTGCTCCTGATTCTCACCACGGGTCTCAGTGAGGTGGTCCTGGGAGCAAGTCCCCACCTGGTGCACAGGTACCAGCTGCAGGTTGGCCCTCTTGGACACACAAGAGCTACAGGTTTCGTCTGCTGCAGCTTCTTGAAGCACCAGGTGTTAGCTAGCAAATCTTAGACCTGTTTTGTATTTACACTTTAAATGTTTTTAGAAGCAATTGCTAACAGCTAGACACAGCACTGCTGCTTTGCACCAAACTGGTTATGGCTCTAGTTTTATAGCCACGTTTACTTAGATTGCATAGACCAAATTGATGCTATAAAAGCTTTAGAGCATCAGCCAACTTGCTTCAATGCTCAGTTTTATTCTTTGTCAAGTATAAATTTTGAAAACTGCCCTTCTGCCAAATCTGTACTGAAGCATTTATCAATAGTGCTAGAATTTCCTGGGTAACTTTCTCTGAACTGCTAGAAGCAAAGTCTGACCCCCAACTGATAAATACCTATAAAACTATTTTACCAAGTTGGTCCAAGCCTGGTGATTTAAATCTCTTGATTCCAGAGCCTTGCTTTGAGTGAATGGCTGTGTGCTGCTAAATTAGAGTAATTTCTTTAGGAGCAGGATTTGTGTTGGAGAAAATCTGGGCAGTGGTGAGTATTGAAGGTGAAAACAAAATGTAACAGAACCTGTATTTAGTGAACGATGTCTAAAAGTTTGTCTCCTGTTTCAGTGTGCTCGTGCGTTCTCCTTGCTGTGTGTACATCCTGTGCTCAGCCTTTAGCAATCCCTCAGTGCTTCCCTGGCCCACAAAGTGGGAATAATTCTCTTTAAGCAGGGATGGCAGACTGCTACAGCTTGTTAATCAGAGCTGGGGATCAAGGTAACACCAAAAGCTGTTCAGGTTTCTGAGGAGCTGTGTATCCTGTCCTAAAATAAGGCTCTTCAGTCTCTTCCTCATCCTCATTAATCACTTCTCCAATCTACTAATGTCACATCAGCTTGGCAAAATTATTTCAGGATGGAAAGTCCATCTATAGAGAATAAAGCAACATTTGGAGGTGGCTTCAGGAAGAGGACAGCACCTGTGGGCACCCTTGTGGGTCTGTAGAGGTTGTCTCTGGGTGTTTCCTGAAGCCACTGTGATCATGAACCTTGCTGTTAGTTTCTGGGATCTTTTCCTTAGAGATCCTGAAGGAATTTACTCAGCCTCTGGAATGTGTTATGTGAGGCTCTGGGTGAGTTTAGAGGTGATGTTTAATGAAGTAACATCTGAAAGTATCTGGGCACAGATAATTCTGACAAGAGGAGGAAACATTTCCTGGTGACAGTCCCTGGCATGTTGACCTGCTGCTGGACAGAGCTGAGCTGTGTTATCACAACAATCTCTGCCTCGTTGCTACGTACATTCAAGACACTTAGTCTCCAGGACTGTTAACCTTGTACCACCTGGACACGTTCCCTTCTTTCTGTCTTTGTCTCTCCCTCTTGCTGTCTCTTTTCCTCAAATGTAGCAATATTTAAGTGTACTTGCTGAATGCTTAACTTCTGGATAAGTTTTCTTTACAACACTATGCCATTTACGAATAAAAGGAGGAGCAGGTCTTAGAGGTTTCTTCACCAGACTTGGACTTCTTGCTGAACAGCTCCCCAGAACTCTTAACATGAATTCAAAATGGAGAAATCTAGAGGTATTTTCCTGCCTCTCTCAGAAGTCAGCTTGGGAAATGGGGTCTGTTTTGTGTACATCATTCCCTTTTGAAGTGTTCAAGAGATTTCTTCCTGCACTGTGTAGACATAGCTTAGTCCGTGATCCAAATGCGCAGCGGTTTGGGTTACTCTCTGACTGATGCTTTTTAGCTTCAGAGTTTTACAAACTCACTTAAGGAACTTGAGGGAATCAATACTCAGGAATCCTAAAGCTGGTTTGCATTTGTGTCATTTACTCTTCTGGGCTGAACAGACTGTGGTTGCCCTCGCAAGGTGGCTGAAGGGAAGAGTGGTTGTGTCATCAGAGCATGGGATGTGGTTCTGCCCAAAGTAATACACACTTGATTCTTTTTTTTTCTTTTTTTTTTTTTTTTTTTTTTTTTTTTTAATATTGGGGGACTGTTTATCAACAAAATGATGTGTAAAAAAAAATTTGATATTTAAAAAAAATGAATAAACACTTTATCATAATGTTGCTTGATCTGTCTGTCTGTATTTCTCATCTCTGCACTCAAATCCTTTCCTGGCTTTTTTCCCCAAGCAAACTGAATTTCCTTAAGTGCTGCCATTTTTAAGATGATTTATTAGAAATCTGTGGTTAAAATTACTCCAGTTGGCAGGGCCTGAGAAGTCATGTATGCCACTTCTATGGAGATGGGCTCTGGAATCCTCCAGGCAGGACTTGGAGGAGTGTTAGGAGGACAATGCAAAGGGTAGCATGTGGCTGCTGGAAAGATGAATGAGGCACTTTTCACATCTCTTGTGTAAACACCTCATTCCCAGCTGGATTGGAAGACAATTGTTTTGTGTGTTGTTTTTTTTTTTCCTGGAGCTGAAAGCTAATCTCTTGGGACATCAAAAATGTGGTGTTTTTATCCCTGGGAAGTTCATGATCATTTTTCAAGTCCCATCCTCTTAATGTCGTTTCCTAGAGCAGGTTTTGGAAAGGGGGAATAAAGGATCTTCCTCCTCTGAAACTTGTGGTGGACTCAGCTAACCCTGCAAACCCTTTTTCATTAGCTTGTGACACATTAATTTTCCTTGAGACAAGCACTGAGTTTTTGACCATTTTGAAGCTCAGCTGTCCAGAAAGCAGTGTGGGTTAGTGCCCGCTGAGCAGAGACTCCAGCACCAGGGTTATGAATCAGATGCGGTGACAGAGCACTTCTTGGACAGTGGTTTCCTCCTCACATGTTCAGAGCTCTGCCTGTGAGACTGGTGTCACTGTTACAGGCAAGTTATGTCATTAAAGTGGGTATTAATTAGGAAAACTAGATTTTGACTTCTGGTCTTGTGGTGAGAAAGGGGAAGGTTTTAACATCTGGGCTGCTATGGCACTGTTCAAACATTGGTCAAAATGTTGGTTGTGATTAGAAGAAATAGGAATAAATCCCAGGAGAAGAGCTAGGAGGTGATTTAAGGACTAAATGCTCTGAAAACTATTTGGAGTGCTTGGTCTTTGTCCATTCTGCTTTATGGACATGGTTTTCTTTTGGTGCTTTAGGCAAGTGCAAATTAAGCACAGTTACAGCTTGTTCACGTTTGGGATTGTCTCCATCTGTCTGAATCGGGGCATTGGCACTTAAATCTGCAGCCTCTTTTATGGCTAAGAGAGGTTCAGACCCTGTGTAAGTAAAGTAAAGCTACTGCAAGTTGGTGCTCTTCCCTTGGTAATCCTGTATGGACAGTTCAGGAGTAGGACAAGGGATTCCCCCAGAGGTCTAGAGTTTAAAAATGGCTGATGAAGAGTTTTCTGAGTAGTCATGAGCGTGCAGAAGCGGCCTCGAGAGCAGTAGCTGGATGCAGGGAGGTGAGCATTGCATCATAGCACTTCCTGCACCAGAACAGTTCAGAGAATAGTTCAGAGAATGGTCAACAGAAGACACATGACTGAGCCCTCATAAATTGTGCAGTGACACTCACTCAGGTCCAGTGCCTCCCTTCCCTGCAGTCCCGTGGTTGAACACGTGCCTGGTGTTGCTCTGCCAAGTAAACCACTTTTTGGGCAGGTCTGTCATCAAAATGGGATTTGGAAAATCCTGCTGGGCAGCCTGGCTTTTGATTCACTCTGGTCTTCGGTTGATTATCTGCTCTACCTTTTCTTTCCCTGAGGGCATAGTGGGGGCAAAGGATCCCTCTCAGAAGTGTCATAGGTCCACTATGACATAATTGTCTCTGACAACAACCTTCCTAATTACAAGGTGCTGTCACGATTGTAAATAAAAGCATTGAGTCACCCAAGCAAGGATACGAGTGGTTGAAATCCCTCCCAACAGCAGCTGCCAAAGGCATGTCCAGTTCTCAGTCCCTTTGTTAACAAATGAAAATGGGAAGCCTTTTAAAATCAAAACACTTGTGTCTGCTTGTGGAAACAGGGATGTGCTCCCAGGGCTGTGTGTTGGTCATGAGATGCAGGGCTCCCTGGTTACTTACCCTGATAAGCCTGTGGTTTTCTCCAATACTGATTCTTTTCCTTGCCTAAATCTATACTGCTACCTCCTGAAATGTTTCTTGTGTCTCTTTAATTGACTTCTGTCAACGTTACTGAGGTGCCTGCAGTGCTTAGTAAGGTTTGTGTCCTAGGAGGATGGCACACATGGCTGCAAGAGATCAGATACACCTCAGTGACTCACCCTGTCCTCTTACGACAAGCATCTAATGGCTCCTCTGTTTGTGAACAATGTTCTTCATGCTGAACTCAGGCTGTAAACACTGTGCAAAGAGTTAAAAATCTCTCTGAAGGGTTGGAAGCAGATGATCATGTGGTGGGAGTGGGGTGGTGCCTCCTGAGCTTGTCCAGGGAAAAGGGAGCTGCCTTCAAATGCTGGGAGCAGAGAAATTTCCATGTAAATCCCTACTTGAGCTGTGGGTGCTCTCAAGGATTACAACCAACTCATTTTACTTGGAGTAAAACAGAGACTTGGTGCATTCAAAACATCTAGGAAAAGTGTAGGAGCCCAGAAGCCTCCTGCAGTGTGGGATGGCACAGGTGCACACCCTGTGCTGCATGTAGTTCCTCCAGAGCAATCAGGAACACAGAGGTCCTGGCCTGCTGGCTGGTGCTGTACAGCCTGTTTTCTTTATGCCCTGAGCAGGCATTAAATCCTAAAATTCACCAGTAAAGAAGAAACTGGTGTGTAGGATCTCTTGGGCTTCTTTTAAAAAGGCTGACAAGAGCTTGCTGGTCTCTTCAGTGACTTGTTAGGGATCAGGCTTAAATGTTTGCAGCTCTAGACTGCTATTAAGCAGTTATGTGCACATTTCAGTGAG